ATGAGTGTATATAAATCCTCTTGACGGAGGGCGCAGCTCGATTCATGAATATTTGAAAATCCAGCAACACTCGTGCGATAAACTTGTGCATTTTTAAAGCAATTGAATTTTAATTTCACATTTGAATACTTAATTGTTTAATGTAAATATGGAGAGGGACTTAAATTAAATGAAATTGTTCGAAAATAATGCCAAGTGGGAGAGATAATAGCGAGTAAAATGATAATGTTTTAATTGTGTTATAAATATGAAAAGTGGATGGAAAAGTTTGTTGTAAAAGAAACAGAAACATATTTATCGTCACCTAAAATGAAAAACAAACAAAATGTTAGAGAGATGGAAAGAGAACTCGATATCTCTCCCAAGTCCGTTCGAGTGATTTTGTTGGATATTTTGAATATGAAACGCATTCTTGCTCGACTCGTCCCGACAAAGCTGAATTGAATTTGAGTACCGTAAACAAATCTCTTTGAGTATGCTTGATGGTGGGAATCCCGGTCCCATATTCATGGAGAGTATTATAACTCCCGATGACACATTTTTATGATGCTTATGAGTTTGCCATGCAAACACCTCCCATCAAGAACTTGTTCCTGAGGGACATACTTGGCCGTATGGTGGCGTTTGCATGAGAACATCCGTGGAAAACGACCGGAATTGTGGAAGAACAATTCATGGATTTTACACGATGATAAAATACCATCACAAATTTAAAGCCAAAAACGCAATGAATACCATCGAGCAACCACCGTACTTACCAGATTTAGCTTCGAGTGATTTTTTCTTATTCCTCAAACTAAAATTGACTAAAATTGTATTCCGTGGAGTCAGTCGATCAGAGAGATAATAAAAAATTCACTGAAGAAGCAATTGCAAAAGATGCTTGTGAAAATCGTAGGCATAAGTGTATTACGTCTATACTTTGAAGTCGACACAAAACAAATATTGACGATTAATTAAATATTTTGCGGTTTATTAAATTTTTTTACAATATATACTTTCAATGCTTTCGGTGAATTGGCGTACTTATGTATATAAAATGTTGAGTTTGGTTCTGAGGTACTCATGGTCCATTATGAGAATTTGTAAGGTATTTTTCTTTCTTAAAATTCGAAGTGTTTTTATGTTTTACCAACCAAACCAAAACAGCGAGTTTCATTCTATAAAGAACTATTTAAAATTCTATTTTCGAAAATACCGCTAACAAAATCCTTTTCCAAGCTCCTTTCAGATGGTTTAATATACTAAAATACTATTAATAAATTCAGGGACTATATTGAAAAAGTTTCCTTTTATTCTCTTCCACACTAATTATTTTACTGGTGCTCATATAAATATTTATGCCCGAAGCTGGAAAAGAGCCTAGCGAATCCTTTAATTTGACACGTATTTGTCATTTATTTGAGATTATCCGTCAACCTTTTACTAGGCGCGCAGCCATAGCTCATTCGCAAACTCACATATCATATGCAACGTATGATTTATGGCTAATATGAGTAACACATACTCGTACGTAGGTTTATGCAAGGGCGCGAATTATAATTCTCATTAGCGTTAACCATTAAGCGCTTATAATTTGTTATGAAACTTTGGAAAGTTGCTTTTGTTGGTGTAACCTCAGTTACCTTGCGGTGATTAAATACAAACTTTGTAGGGATAACTCTGATCAATCTGCACAAATGGCACGTGGGTGCTTGATTATCAGGATTAAGGTTTCATTATTACCCATTTCATTGGACGCGCTAACTTTGGCTAATTGGCATATATTCGTTTGTCCTCCTCGTTTAGAGAAGGGTAAAAATAAGCCAAAACGTCGTGTGATTAATGGTTGTGCAAGACTACTCGTGTAGGCAATTTTTTAAGGTGGAAATGTTTATTCAATACATATCATCATTGGTGGGTGTATATGTATTGTTTAAGCTAATGGTTTGTGACTTACTTGTAACACCAAATTAATCTCTAACAAGAATGGTACCGAATCTGTACTCTATGACAAAGAAAATTTGCACAAACCAGAATTATGCCATCTTATAGTACTAGTCAACGGACAGCCCATCGAGCTAACAATCAAACATAAACGGCTTGGCTAGTTAGGACATCCACTACCCAAAAATGCCGATGACATTTGCAGAGCTGTTGTTTTTTGAAATCCACAAGGCTCCAGAAATTGCGGACATCCAGAAACTTTATGGTGACGTATAGCTGATGCAGACTTGAAAGACTCCCAAACTAACTGGAGCCCGGAAAAATTAAAAATCTATACATATACATATATACATATAGTATATAGGGAAACTTGTTGACTGTGATTTGAAAACATTTAAACTTCCAAAAATGTCTGTCCGTTTGAAACATTGGGAAATTTTACAGACAGATGTTACGTTTAATAGCTCTTAGGCAGGTAACACTTTCACTCGAGTTAAATAAGATTAGGTATCCATAGTTTCAAAATAAGTTTTCCTTAAATGTATTTGAATTACGATATACAGTTATTTAGTTCAGGATAGCTCACTCAATATGGAAAATATGCGATATGCTGTTAATTTCTGAACAAGACTAATATTCAAGAACCTTTTTAAAGTGCAATTGTCAATTACACCACAAAAAGGTGGTAAAAGAAGAAGTTTCAAATCTTCAGTAACATTTTTCAAAAACTAAACCACGGAAATATTTTTAATATAGACTTATAGCCTTATTTAGTTCATTGAACTAAGTAGGATCCTCTTCTGTCATAATCTGTCATATTTGATAATATATTTTGACATGTACAAAAACCAGTCCTGTGTAAACTAAAGTTTAAGTTGAGCTTAAACTCAAACAACTTAACTCAAAGTTACTTGTAAGTAAGCTCTGTTTTCCAAGTATACCGCTAATATAAGACAGCTATTAAGATTTGAAAACCTGAGCATTAAGAGCACTTTAAATATCTACCAAAATGCATTTGTATTTTTAATACACACATGGCTGTGCGAATTTACTTCTTATTTACCTTACACAAATGGCAAATGTATGAGCACACTTGAATAATTAAAACATACTCCTGTAAATATGCGAATATACGAGTGCCTCTCTGCGCCACCGTCCACACACAAGAGCAGCATAAAGCATGTTCCTAACTGAAGCGAATAAGAGAACAGACAGCACTTAATTCGACACACACTTTTATCAAGAGGACTGCAAGTGATGCAGTGGCAGAACGCGTCAGAGCGCAAAGGATCAGGCGGAGGATGAGCTGTCAAGCATAGTGCTGGAAAGTGAAAAGGTAAGATCTGCGCACACATAAGCTTATAAGGCAACGAATAAAAGGGAGATTCACCAAGCCACTGCTGAGAAACGAATGCACACAAGCACCCACACACACAGACACACACTCAAAGATAATAAATTTAGATATTTATTCATTTTTATTGTTATTGCCTTGTATTCCTCACATGCACGAGCAAATAAATGGTAGTGAGTAGGACTGGAGGATAATTAATTCAGGCAAAACAACGCAAATTTGCATAAGAAGCGAATATGGTGTTTATGCAAGCGTTTCTTACTTGGCAAAATTGAGATGTGTAAACAGCAGAAGCAAACAAAAAAACAGAATCACAAGATATGATGCTTGCATAACTGAAGAAAAGTTTGCTAAAATTAAAAATTAATTTCACAGGATTCTATTTGAGTCTCATCGCGCACTGGATCCCTGTGCTAAGTGATTGTGTGCCTCAAAGGTTGGCTGAGTCAAGTAATGAAAGTGTGGCAAGTATCTTGTTTTTGTTGCCTCACGTTCTTTTATTTTTGTACAAAGGCCGGTCTGTATTAGCAATTTTAATTTTAAATGCTACAACAGATGTATTTACTAAGAAAGGAAGGCACGCTGCTTCCACGCTGTATGAGATTAAAATTAAGGCAGCTGTTCTTTTGCAGAGCTGAAAAGGCTTCAGTATATAAAAAACTATGAAAGCATACTATATAAAGAGTTCGATTTTTTTAATTCTAGATGATTTGAAGTTACGTGGACTCTTTAATGGAAATAACTAAATATGACCCACATTTAGACTATCTACTGAAGATATGGAAACATACAGATAACATATGAAATACCAAAATCCCAAATGTGACGATAAAAAGTGTACACATTTATTTCAGGTTCAACTTTTTATGTTGATGAAAGATGACAACATCTTATGAGTCGGCTTTACGAGTTTTTTGAGAAAAAGCTTCTGATAAATAGCGCAATCGATGGAACGATGAGCTGTACGAGATACATACGGCGACATTGACATAGTTCAGCGACTTAAGAGACAGCGGCTACGCTGGCTAGTTCATGTCGTACAAATGGATGCAAGTAAAGCTCTAAATGTATGCAACGTAGAACCCGCAGGGAAGCAGTGGAAGAGGAAGAACTCAACTCCGTTGGAAAGACCAAATGGCGAAGGACCTGGCGACTTTTGTAATTTCCAATTCGTCAAACAGCTAAAAGGAAGAACGACTGGCGCGCTGTTTTAACCTCGGATATAACCGCGTAAGCGGTGTCTACGCCAATAAAGAAGAAGCGATAGGATCGAGAAAACTAAAGAAAATTTTCTTAAAAACCATTATAATTGTATGAGAAGGATAGCAGGTGATCTGAACTTCTCTTGTGAATCGACGCATCACATTTTGGTTAATGTTTATCAAGTCTATAGAGGAATGGATAAAGCGCTGGCATGCTGGTATTGGCTTCTGAGTCTATTTTGAAGTCGATAATAAACATTTGGTTTAAATTATGTGAAAACGTTGTAGTATTATTGTTGTTGGTGATAAATATTATATTTTAACAAATCGCTCCCAAATATCCTATTATACATACAAGTGTACGAAAAATTGTTTTGAGTTCTTAAATTAAGGAAACTGGTGATAGATTAATGATCAACTCTTTCATATCACCTAAATAAAGATGCATATCTTAAATGCTAAATAAGTATTAACATTTTATAGTAGCTTGTTGAAAGTATAGTCTCAGGCACACTTACCTGCTATACAGGCATTTGCTATCACGACTGCCATCAGTACTAGAATTTTCTGCTCCATCGTACAACTGCTGCCGATGCTGGTGAAACAACGCTTGCGATAGAGCAGTCTATCGCTGCTTTCCATATTGTGAGTTTTGAGTTCGCCTTTAGTTGTGTGCACTTCTAGGCGTCTTCGTAGTTGTGTGCGTTACACAGTTGTTTCGAATATCTGTTAGTTTCTAACTAAACAAAATCAGTCTTCATAGAAATTGTCGTTTTACGAGTAATTGATGTGTGGCATTTCATCCTCCGACGGATGCGGTCTTCTGCGGTTGCTCAACTTTTTTATAGCTTTTTTTATTGTAGCGCAGTATTTTAGTTTTGTCATTTAAGTTTTCGTTGGAAATTTAGTTTTTCAAATGCACTAAAGTTTTCAGTTAGTATTTTATTGGCTGCTTATCATTTTTTGGTTTGTTTGTGGCTTTTTGTTATTGTCTCACATTTTGCCATTTCACATTTCTTTCGGTTTTCTGCTTGATATTAAGATTTTTTTCCCTAAAAACGGATGATATTTTAATATTCTAAAGTAAATACAATATTTTTTCACAAACTGTAGCATCGATTTATAATATAATGTTTTTTTTTTTATTTTAAATAATATAAGTTGACGGACAAGTTACAGCTTTTACATCAGGTAGTCGGAAAAGTCTTTTCGTAATTTACCCCAAATTTTTTTTTTTTTTTTTTGTGTTTTTTGTTAAACCCTTCCAACGCTATATGGTATCGACATCTAGTGACAAAATACGAAAATACTTTTTCGACTACCCAATATAGACCCCTTTCCTTGCAAAATTTCATTTGAATTTTCTATAATCGGAAATAGAAAAGAAGAAATATAGTCAGAGAACATATTTTATTAATCTACACAGAAGAATCTAAAAGCGACAATATCACAACTTCGAAGCATGAAAGGGATCAAATGCTCCAGGAATGGAGCTAAATAGCTGGAGAAGTATATTCTTACTCATAGCTATAACCGCAAACCATTGGCAACTCAGGGGCCTTGCTATGAGGTTGCCGAATAAAAGCTATTGTAAAATTTTCAACGCATAGACGGCTTAAATTATTAAAAAAAAAAGCCTTTGTTTTATAAAAATTTATTTTTTTTTTTCGGAAAATCTTTTCCAGTTAACTCATAACTTTTAAGAGAGGGAGTCCTGCTAGCCTTAATTCCTTTCAACTTTACTTGTAATCCAGCTGTTGCAACATAATAAATACACTCATGCTATTTATATTAGCAGCAGCAGTACTTTTGCTGGCATGTTTTGTTGTTGTTGATCCATTGCTTTGTTTTGTTTTCCCCACCGCAGCTGCTTTGGAAAGTACTAGTTGAGCATTGTTGCTGCTGGCGATTACTTCGGGCATGTTCTACAAAAGTTCAAAACATTCCGCAGATTGTACATTTACTTTTCGAAATTTCACTTCCTTTTTCTATTTTTTTTAATTTAAACATTCGACTTTGTTCGTTTGCTATGGCGCTTAAATAAATATTTGTGTTCGCAACTTTTGTTGTTCGTGTTTTTGCGTGTGCTTGACCTTGTGCTGTGTGTAATCTTTGTTTGCATACGCCAAAGGACGTTCTGGTGTTAGTAGAGACTTCTACGTTCTTCAGTCTTTTTTGCCAAAAATGTGTATTTTTTTTTTTATTTAACGCTTTCTTCTTTCAACTGCGCGAATGCTTTTGTTTATTTTGGCTCCGTTTGCATTTTTTTCTAGTAATTACGCGTTCATTCAAAAATGCGTTGCCATTAATTAAGAGTCTAGTAAATCTTGCTGCGTTTTCACAATAGTCGTTCATTGAAGTGTCATAGCAAATTTAAATTAATGTCTTGTCAGAATTTGCCGTTTATTAAATGCATTTCTCAACCAAATAAATTTTCTCTCTTACCATTTTTCATAGCGCATATAAACTTTGGCATTTGTGGCGAAATAAAATTGCATTTAGTGTACTTTCAATTAGAAATTAAAATCTGCGTGTCTGTGAACAGCAAATTTACACTTTAATGTGGTAATAAATGTGTGTGAATGAATGTATGCGCCTTTGAATGAAATGTTCTGCTGCAATGCCTTTCCGTGTGGTGGCTCAGGTTACATGTTTTTATGGTCGGCACTTTTAAGCCTCATCAAATGGTGATTTGCTGCAATAGCGCTTAAAATCAAAGCTTATGACGTCAATAAATTTTTTATTTGGTGAAAACCTACTAAGCAATGCTTTATCAATGAATTCAATTTTATAAAGGCAAGACATCACAATAAAGATATATGTAGATACAAGTATATATCAATATAAAGCTATAGATAGAAATATTTAAGGGGAATACTACTGTGACGGCGTAAAAAAGGAGATTTTTGGAATTCAAAAAAATTAATGCATCAATTGTTTTAAGATATATGTAATTCGAGAAAGCTCACTTTAAGAGTTTTGAAGACAAACAGTAAATATTTTTTGAGTTAAACGACGGTGGTAATGAAAGGTCCAGCACAGCTGAAGTGATTGATAAATGATGATTTTCCCCCTTCCGGTAGGGGTAAGTTCTTACCCGTGGTAAAGTATGCCTGTCGTAAGAGGCGACTAAAATGGTGTCTTTCTTTCTGGGCTTGCCTAGAAATTTCAGCATAGTTTTTGTCAGATGAAATTGCTAATATAAGGACAATTGATTTCATTTGACATTCAAGCGACAAATGTCACCAGTTATTGAGATGTGGGCGCTCAACTGGTAGTTGCAAAAGTTTCAAAGTCTTATCAGAGCGTATAACCTCGTACCACGGGGAGCAGTTAGCCCTTGGAGTTTACTTCAATCTGCTCATTGGGTTTACCCTTTGCGGATACTCGTGGCGGCCGTGATTGAAACCTAAAGGCAGGTAGGGTTGAAAAACCCAATGTGGAGTCGCACTGCGGCCAAAGTACGGCAGAGGTTTTAGATCGGTCTCGCACCCGAGCAAGGTGGCAAAGGTGTGACTATCCACCTAAAATAATTGGAACAAAAATACGTGCAAAATGCATTTATACTTTGGGGTGCTGATCAACGCATGGTATTGATCTATGGGATTCAAAGAAAGCACCGTAAGGTAAAGCCGTCACCGGCAGGTACTCACTCTTAAACGGCTCAACTCAAAAACTATTGAGATATGAATGTAAAGTTTAACTATGTTTTTTATAAGCTATATAAAGTAAAAACCCTTTCTATTTAAAATTATCAAATATGAAACGCTTAATAAATGTCATGTATACGCCGTGGTCCCCAACTATTATTGAACCAGTAAATTTTGAAAACAAAATATCTGACATTATATGGCATCTATAGCTCACATCTGTCGAAATCGACGATAAGATTAATATAGCATATACCGGGTGATCCAAGTAGAGGTATTTTTATACACTTGCAATCAGTTGCTACAGAGTATTATAATTTTGTTCAGCTAACGGTTGTACGTATCACCTAAAACTAAGCGAGATAGATATGGATTTATATATATATATATATATAAATATATATGTATATAAATGATCAGGGTAACGAGAAAAGTTGAAATACGGTTGACTATCAGTCTGCCCGTCCGTGTGTGAAAGTTGTAACTTGGCTCAAAATTGAGATATCACAATGAAACTTGGTATGTAATATGAAAAGAATTTTGAGTTCGTAGATGGGCGTAATTGGAGCACTTCTACGCCCATAAATCGCCATTAACCGAAAACATATAAAGAACTTATACCGACAGTATGGTAATGGATGATATCGGAGTGTAACCCGGTTCACCCCCATATAACGGTACTGTTAAAAACTACTATGATAAATTAATAACTAAATATGCTAGAGGCATTTAAGCACCTAGATGGTATGAGAGCGCTATATGAGAGCCGGTGTAAAAATTGGACGATGGGCGCTAATTTTTTGGTGAAATCACATATCTGGAGACCCGACCAACCGATTTCGACAAAATGTGGTATGTTGTATTTTTACATATTCCTATGTCACATTGTGAAAATGCGCGAATGATCGAACGATAACCACGCCTTTTTCCCATATAGAACAACTTTAACTTCCACTTGATTCTTTTACTTTCCAGTATACAAACCAAGAAGCAATTAACGGGATTAAACTTTGCACGAATAGTATCTTTAGTGTATGCCAACTTATGATCAAAAACTAATCAAATCCAATAAAAACTGTTCAAGCCGCTACGTCTCTAACAATTGTATGTCTGCATGCTAAAAATGGCTTAAATCAGGTGAATACTTCAATATCAGCCAATGTTTGAGTTATCTCAATAAAAATTTCAGAACGTATTTTATGCATAACAGTATAGCATTGTTCTTAAAATGGATATAATTGGGTGGAACTTGACTTCCTCCCTTATAACTAATATCAAGCTTTTCGAACATCCGGCTGACTTTACTTTATATGACTAGTTTTTTAGTATGTGACATGTTAATATCACATAACACACACGCAACAATATAAGCTCGAACAGTGAAATATAAATGTATGTATACATATATATTTATATGATACAAAGAAAATTCAATTTGCTCAGCATGAAAAAATCTTGACACTCGTTTTCACTAAGTAAGGAAATTACGAATTTCTGTAGTCTGCTTTACGTAATGCATTAAAGAAGAAATTGATTTAATTACAGCGCATTTACATCCATTTAGTAATCGCACAACAGTGTCAGTATGTAATAATTACCGTTGCTACTGTGTTTCCTACGCATCATCCGATTAATTACAATGTAAACAAAGTCGCATGCAGGTGAAACAGCTCGGCGAACGGACAAGCAACGGCAGAAAAGGCAAAAAACGAACGAATAACAGAACACAAACAAGCCAATTAACGCGCTGATTAAGGTGACTTTCCACACTCACACGCAAACACACTCCTGCAAACATATTTAAATATTATGTGAGAGTGTGAGTGCGCTGCTGCTGAGTCATAAGAAAATTCGCCTTTAATGTGAAGACTGCGAGCGCCCACCGCGTGCGTCACAAACTACGCTTCCTCTTGCGGTGCATTGCTCTGGGCCGCACTCGAGCACGTGTGTGTGTGTGTGAGCACATGAATTCTTGTGTGAGTTGATGGGTTAGCCACCAGTGTGAAGCTGCTAACAAAAGAGCTGTCAGAAGCAATAGCCAAGTTTATGCGCATTGCGGGCATTCTGCCACGTCTTTTGCATAAAGGTGTGACAGAAACGCGCACATACACACTTACATGCATATACATACTCTATGTGTTGGAATTATAGCGCATTATCTTATTACTTTTACTTTTCACATTTCTGTAGTTCTATGTACATTTATGCACGCGCACGTAATTCGCCATATAATTATGTATTTATGAATGGGATTAGATGAAGATGGTCCAGACATGCGACATAACCACGAGCACTCACGGCATATCAAAGTGTA